CAGATATTGAGTAAAAACTCATGAAGACGTATCACTAATCTTATTAAAGAATCAAATGAACTATGTTTGATCCAAACTGATAAATTAATTTGTATTAATGCATAGATTTTTTTGTAAACAAACCATGCCAGTTTTCATCTTCAAGATAGATTTCACGTTCGAATATTTTAGGATAAAGAAAAACTGAACAAAACAGTTTTCTTTTATTGTTTTGTTTGAGTAAAGTGTTTTTTATTTTCTGTGTGCACTGTGATTCATCTTACATAGCGTAAGAACGCAGAAGAAAGAAAGAAAAATCTACATAATAAAACATGCACGTGTGATTATAAATACAAGGTAAAATATTATTTTTTATTTGTATGCATTTACAACTACAATGAAATTCAATGATGACTCCAGTGTTAAAGTGAGCAGCTTGCTATTATCGTTTGTTCATCAAGGAGATGTCAAAGCACTCGAAAGCCATTTGTCAACAATGAACAATGCCGAGATTTACTTAAATCAAATATATAACGAACCGGATAAACAAAAAAGTACTTTACTCATGATTGCTTGTTTAAATAAGTTCGAAGACATGGTACAGATGTTGCTTAATTATTCTGGACTCGATCTTGAAGTGCTAAATGATATACAACTCGAAGAAAAGGATCAAACTTTATTGATGTATGAGAATGTGACCGTTTTATGGGCAGCAGCTGCCATTGATAATTTTAAAATCGTGAAATTACTTGTTGAACATGGAGCTCGAGTTAATCATACAACTAAAACAAATTCAACAGCATTTCGTTGTGCTTGTTCCAATGGTAATATTAATATTGCTCGTTACTTGAACGAACACGGTGCTGATATACATATTAACAAAATACATAATGAAACGAATCTTATTTTAAGTGTTTATAATGAAGATTTAGAAATGACAACTTATCTCGTTGATGAACTAAGTTGTGATGTGAATGAATCAATAGATGATGGACGTTCACCACTCTACTTTGCTGTAGATCGTGGTTCACTTGAACTAGTTCAATTGTTACTAAATCATAATGCTCGAAATTTTCGATCAAATCATAATCACATGTCTCCATTATTATTAGCAGCTGAAAAGAGACGAATTGATCTTGTCGATGCTATTTCTCTACAATGTTCATTGCTTGAACAAATCGAAGCACACGAATTACTTGGAAGTGCTTTTGTCTGTCGTGAACATGGAATTTCTAATGTTGAAAAATCGTTTGAATGCTTCTATGAAGCACTTGAACTTCGATCAGAACATAATCTTCCTAAAGTTCGAAGATTATCAACTGTCGAAGTGTTCAATAATCGACAAGAATGTCAAACAATCGATGAGCTGGAAAAGCTTCGATTAAACGATGATCATATGTACACTGAAGCGTTACTCGTACGTGAACGTTTGCTGGGACCAACTAATGCAAAATACTGTCGTTCTCTTCGATTTCGTGGTGCCCTTCTAGCTGACAATGCACAACATCATCGAGGAGCTGATTTTTGGTTGTATGAACTTAGCTTACGTCGACAGTACTCATTATCTATCGACATTGAGGATTTGCGTCAATGGGCTTCGATTTTTAGTGACATGTTACGTAAATCATTATCGATACCAATTGTGCCTTGGAAGACAGTCATAACAGTAATAGTTGAAGAGTTAGAGCATAATACGAAGGATTTTGATTATAATCTACATACTTTACTTTTCTTAATAACAATTGTTAGTCAGGTATCGACGTGTCAAGCATAAATTTTCTTGTTTCTTGTATCGAGATTATCTTTTTCAGAGTCTGTCAAAATCAATGATTTCGCATGATGATCGTAAACTGTTTTATCGACACATTTGCTTCATTGTGCAACGTCATTATGTTACCCAAACATTTGGTTCTTCTCTACTACATTTAAGTCTAAGTGATCATACATCTGCAAATGACTATTTCATCGATGACATTTGCAAGTATGTTTTTTTTATTTCAAATTACTTATTTTTGAAAGGTTATCTATTATTATAGATATCCATGTTTACATACAGCTCGTATACTATTACATTGCGGTGCTAATATGAATGCAATAGATGCTGCTCGAAACACATCTCTTCATATATTTGTTTCCAATGCAACTATAGTTGATGATACTATAATCCAATATCTCTATGATTCTGGTGCTCATCTAGATTATGTCAATGCTTTAAGAGAGACGCCCATTGACGTTGCAAAGAATTCAAATATTAAGCAATTTCTTAAAACTAAAACAAAACTTAGCTTGAAGTGTTTATGTGCAAGATTAATACGAAAGAATATTATTCCATTTCATGGAAAGATCGCTAATTCTCTTATTAATTTCGTCGAAAAACATTAAATATCTAGGAAGACTTTTCAATTCGTTGTATTTATAATGTAATATTAAAAGACTACTATTATTTTGCTAAAATTACATAAATGCAAAGTAAATATATTAGAAGCTCAATTAATTTAAATTTTCTTTGTAATAAAAACTTTCGTTAAGTTTGATAAGTAATATAAATATCATCGTCTATGGTTTTCTTGACTCTGTTTGTTTATAATCAATAGTTTTTCTGCATTATTATAAAAAAAAATTATGTTACATTGATATATGTCATCTAACATACTGAAGAGACCAGGTAGATATGTTGCTGTCTAACGGAGAGTGCGAATGTATGGTGAAGGTCTCCACTTCAGTTGCATTGTCACCTTTACTTGATCATTCTATCTCAATCTCGGTCATAATAAAGTTTGAAGATCGAACAGAAGAGTAATTCATGATAAATCCAAATTAATGTTTAATAAGACCATTAAATTCGCTGTAGAATTTTGAGATTCGAAAAATATTCAAAAATCGATAGAACAACATCAAAATCACATCTAGTGAAATATTCTGTATTTGAATTCAAGTTTTAGTTTGTTCGAAAATAAAAATGAGTGATGCGTTGGAATTAAACTAAATAAGGAACGGTAACTATTGAAGTCAATCGTTGTTGTTTATGGATAATTGCTAGACTACCTCTGTAGTCGAGTAACTTTCGCTTTCTAATGAAAACTTCGAGAACTATACAGAAGTTGAAAGATTTATCACAGATAGAAACTGAGAAATACTATTTGTATAATGATGTTTCGTTCTTTTTTTATACTTATAACCTTTCTAGATTTACAAACAGCACCTTATCGAGTCATTTACGTTTCCATTTATATTCTACCGTACCGAACACAAGATAAACGTTTGTTTTATACTGACAATTAAATACTCTGTGTTCGTAGATGCAACAAAAATTCGCGTGATCAGGTGCATTATGAACGTACGAAATAACATGATTTCAACTATATTGGGGCCTGGAAAAAGTTACATAGGTAATAGAAATTCATCTCACGTTCTATTTTAGATCAATGTTTCTTACTATCATGCATAGTTAAAAAGAAATTCTTTTTTTCTTTTTTAGTTAAATCACAACTAGCAGATGCAAAATAGAAAAAAAATGCTATAAATGTTTGACGTTCTGGAACAATTTTTACCAAAAAGTGCAAATTCTCCTAACAAGAATTTTCTTAAAGGTTCGATTTGTTCTGAGAATATTCTTGTTATTCAAAAAGGAAATGGTCATCATTCAACATATAGAGATAATCACAAAATTATTCACCCGTTAAACACAGATAAGACCATAAGAATAAGAACTGTCTTAAGTATTATTTCGTCTTTTGAAAGAGATATCATTGTACTTTTTATACCTGCAACCACTTTTTCGAAATCTTTTCTTTTGTCTATTCGACAATCATATAAAGCAGATTTGACTAAAAACTTTAAGATCATTGATATTTAACATCAGCTATACCATTTCTAATAGCAGCGCTAAATTTTTCATTCGTATCTTGAAAATAAAAATAAAACCAATTGATTAACTTCATTGGAACTATGATAATTTAGATGTATAGATAATAACATAAATATATTTATGAATGAGGCATGTAACATTGCCTTATTTAATTGAGTAGATGATGGTCTGATTTCGGTTAAACGTTGAATTTCCAACCATTTCATTAAATATTAATTACGGTCATTTACTGATATTTGAAGTAAAGTTAACTTTTGTAAGAGTTTGAGTATTTTCTGTGCTAGCACAAATATCCACATCCTCGTAGTACCGAAAACCTTTAAGTAATACTTGATAGGGATGCAATGACACCGATCATTCACTACCGTACCGTCATCGTTTCACCGGCTATAACCGATAGTCGGTACTATGATTAGCGGTTTCACAAAGTTTTCACTGGTATTATCGGCTTAATTTTCTCAATAAAGAAAGAATTCTTAGAGAAAATAACGATATTTTATAAACGTTCACGAAAGTGAATCGTGGTCGGAGAATCAGAATCTGCAATCAGTTTCTCAATATTTTATACTTGATTTTTCGATCGACTTGCCTATAATAGCTGTCCTACAATGAGCGACCGAGTACTGAATTTTGAAAAACGAATTGCCGATTTGGATTCCTCACTCTAATTTACTTTCGTCAGCCTCAATAAAATAACGTTATTTTCTTTGAAAATTACCACGGTTATCGGCGGAGACCGGTAACGATTGGTACGGTTACCGAGGATCCGGTTATGGTCACTTTTGCATCCCTAAGTGTACTCCTAATCAATGCACCTCATGTACTAGCAGACATCGGATTCAAACTAACGTCAGCTACAACGAGCACATCGAAGCCACTCAAATTATTAAGTGCAACTAATGTACTGATAGTCCTTGCAATAACATCAGCCCCATGTAAAGACCCAAGACAGTCAAGAGTCTTTGATAGATAAATTCATTCGTGTACAGTTCTACATTGGTTTTGGACATTTGTTTTTAATGTAGTGATATGCTCGGTCAATTGCCGACTTTCTTCGTACCTGTTACGCAACAAACCGATCATTTACTTCATTTATTCCAATAGGCCATTCATGACAGTTTTAATATAATTTCGATCAGCAATTGTCACAGCATTTCTATTCGAATCGAATACGTCAACCTATACACAAAGATGATCTCTGACTTCTAACATATGCGGTAAAATCAAACTTGTTTTATGTTATGTATCGATTATCAAGATGTAATGAGTATTACTATTTGTCATTGTGAAGCATCGTCTCGATGAAAGATTGTGTATGAGAACAGAGAATAACACATTCAACTGTGGTTGTTGAATAGAGAATTATATTTTAATAATCTGAGCACGTTACTGCTATTATTAACCCACATTTCTTATTTGGCGTTGTTCATGATATAGTGTAATGCATCGTGATGGAGTATTTTCGAATTAGAAATATTTAGAATAAGTTCGCGTTTTTCTTTCGAACCCTATATGTTTCATTCTATTATCTTGCTGTTATAAAACAACTTGTCAAACTTGAAGTTACCATACCACATAAATGAAAAACTCATAAAATAATTCTCGTGATCAGCAGTTATTGTGATTGATTATTATTGGACGACCACGAAGACATTTTCTCCATAATACTCCATAATAGCCTTGCTTTTAATGAATCACTTTGTAGTGGTTGAAATATTGAACAAAATCCATACGGTTCGGAGAAATTGTGAACTTATTATACGTGCCTGAAATTTAAAAATAGTCAATCACGATAAATTGCGATATAGTGCACTATCCTGATATAATATCGTGTTTTGAAATATGTCGTTAAAATGGAAGAAAGATCCATGAATTGGTAATTTAAGAAAATTTAAAGAATTCAAGATACATAGGTAAATAAGATATCGATGCCTTTACATTATGATGGACGTCAAGAAATTCAAGGAGTTTGCCAAATTTGAGCAACTCAAAATATATGTGATTATTACACGTGTATACTACATGACTATCGCATCGTTAACAAATTTGGTGTCGACTGAGTCATGAGTTTGATTATCACGCAACCTAAATAAGAATATTGCCATCCTTATCTTCATCTAGCATTTGTATCGACTTTATTATTGCAATTTCTAGAATATTCCGCCATATGAGAACATGTGTTAGAACAACTCCTGTAGGGTTAAAATGCAAAATTCAAAACAACAGCTTGTCATCATAGAGAATCATGTTTAACAAATCAGTTTAAGTCAACGTTTTACATATTCTATACTCTGTTAAATTTATCAGACACTAATGTCATCCTCAAGGGTTTTAGTTCTTCTATTAACCTTTGAATTTCTCTTTTAATAACTTATAACAATTCATAATAAATTATACTTTCGATGCTACATTTGTCAAAGTTTGTGATGAGTTGTTGTCAAAATATCTCACAGACAGTGCGAAAAAGTAAAGAATTTCATCATCTACTTCAACACAATTAGGTTTGTGTCTCACAAAAATAGTACATGATATACACTTTAGTACTTCAAATGGTTCAATGAACCGAAATAACACTATACCGGGTGTGCCAAAAGTTATGATCACTTAATAAATGAGGAGTCCACGGAAAACCAAATTTATCCTGTTTTACTTTTAGTTCCCTCAAACTATCCCTTTAGTCCGTTTAGTACCTTTAGTTCCTTTAGCACCCTGTGGCACTTTCACTTCAACATCACTCGTACTCGCGCCCACACCTACATTCTAAAAGGTCTAAAGGAATTAAAGTGTCACGAATATGGAAATCTTATCAGCTTCTACAGCATAAAACTAAAACGGGATAAATTTATTTTTTCGTGTACCTTTGCAAACTGGATTGTTTAATAGTGATATTTATTTAATATATTCAATGTTTCTCTCGTGTAGACATAGAAAAAGGAACGTATGAGACGAAAACAGAAGATAAATATAGCACAGAAGACAAAATTAAGATTTGTTTGAATATCGATCCATGATGTAACAAAAATATGTACTAATTTGATACTGGATTTTTTTCAGAATTTCTATTAATAATATGTCATTACTGTATTTTATTAGTCAGATAGACAGGTTTATGAAAATGAACTTATGTTCATCAATATGTACAAAAACGATGGAAACAGTAAAAATCTTATTTACTCTTACTGCAGATTGTAGTGAACAAAAATACTATGCTTTTTCTGATGTACTTTTTTTCTTTCATATCTATTGGTTTTTTATGTTTAATATATAGTGTAATGCATTCAATCCTAATACATTAAAAATGACCAATTAATCCCACATATTATGTGTACCAAAATATATTGTGGATAATTCTTGACTGTTCGTTGTGGTTCCAGCAAAATCAATGGGACTAATTTTATTCAGACATGATCTATCTGGTTGAAATGTTGATGATAAAATAAATGACATAACTAAAAGCCAACCACAACTTGTCTCTTGATCTATCATTGGCGATGCATCTAATTAAATAAAATTTTAAGTATGTGACAAAGAAAAAAATTAAAAAAAAACCTATTGCTGTATGTCCTGTTCGAGGCATTTCAATGTAAGTTAAGTTTGAATTTAGTGATGAATATTTTTTATAAAAATGTCGAGCAATTGGTAGTGGCAATGTTTCATCCATGTCACCTTTAATTACAAAAATGAATTTCTTTCGTATTTAATATATATTTGACATACCATGTAAAACTAAAACTGGAATTTGAGTTTTTAATATTGGATATGTTCTATAATATTGATCACTATTATATCCAAGTACACCAGTTCTTTGTATTGGACAATAAATATTCGACATCAATTGCATTGCCATAAATGTATTATCCGACATACCTTTAACATATTCACAAGAAAGTTGTATGTCATTATGATCTCGTGTAGACCATAGTTCAGTTAAATCATTATTTAATGCAACCTTGAATATAAAGAAAACAAGTTTGCTTTTTTAATGATGACTAAAAGAGCTATTAAAGCAATTCCTGCGGAATTATACTTCAACACTCCTTTTATATCGTGTTTCACAAAAAAAAGAATCTTACCAACATAGAGTATCCAGGTCGATTATATGGAAATGGTGATGATGATGTTTGCTTGAGAAAATGTTGTAAAACAATTTTATCTTGTGAATTACATCGATTTATTCGATAAATTAATGGTGGAATTAATTGCATAACAAGTGGAAAATATAAATATGACATCTTACGAAAGAAAAAAAACATCAAACTATCATTGTTATCTTGATATTAAGTTTTTTTTTATTCTTACTTGTATACCGATTTCAATACTAGTTGTATTTAATGATGAAAGACAAGATAAATTTCCTTGAATTTCTTCATTAATTTTATAAGTATAGGCAGCACGTAATGGATTTTGATCCTCAAATTTATTTGCACAACCTTGTTTGTCGTGTGCACATCGTAAAAGTAAATCTAAGAACATGTAGTCAACATATTTATCATACTTGATAAGATCAATAAAATCTGTTGGAACAACAGAATCAAGTATAACACCATCAATTTGTCTTTCATTTTCTATTAAATGAAGATATCTTTGTAAAAGATAAGTTCCTTGACTTGAACCCATTAATATGACACGTTGATTTGATTTTAAGGTTTGACGATTCGAAACAACTTTTAATACATATTGTAAATCCCGTGCCATATTTGTAAATGTATTATGCTTTAAACGATATTGATGTTCTTTTATATATGATAAACAAGATGAAAAATTTAAAAATATTGATATTGGACATTCTAATCCATCACTTTCACCTACACCACGCTTGTCCGTAGCATATATTGATATTGCACCATTATATTTAGAAACAACACGAATAGCTTCTGATTCTAAAGTCGATATTGGTATACCACCACCTCCTATATATAATAGATACACAATGATATGTGATTAATTTAAGCATAAGACATTACCTGCTATTCTCCATAGCTGATGACCTGTATTTTTACTTTCTTTTATGAAATATCGTTTGATAAAGATCCTTATTGTTTCTGTACATGTTGTTAAATTTGTAGTTGTATTCCAATCAATAGGTACATTGACAAACATACATTGTGCATGAACATTATTGATTGTTTCGCTCTAAAGATATATAAATAGAATTGAAATAAATCTTTGATTTATACGAGTAATACATACTCCATTTGATAGAACAGGGCAATTGAACCAATTTGGTTGAACAATTGGAAAGTTAGCAAGTGGAAAACAATCTTTTGATGTAACAATCATCACAATAATCAATAATAGAAAAACTTCCCTGCTTGCAATAGTACAAAGCATTGTCAATTTCTTTTGTCCATGAAATTGTGTGCCTTTAAGAAAAAAAGTAAAACAAATAGTTATTCAATAAAAAAACAATCCTGTCATGTCATTCAAAAGGATTAGTACATTTAAGAAAGCAACTACTTAATGTATGAAATTGATTTAAGTACAAAGAAAATAAATAAAAATGCTCTTTTATTTTGTTGATATCATATGTTGTTTTATTGACTCATGCTGCTGATTTCTTATGCATAATCACTATTACATAAACGTTTAAAAAAAGACAACAATTAATGAGCGTCATGAATAAATTAACATCGCATTTTTTTTAATTTTCGCTCTTCAAAATATAAGAAGGAAAAATCTTCACTACTAAATATTTAATTAATAAACTAAAAGATAGTTTCAAAAATTAAAATTTTTTTCAAAAAATATCAACCACACTGATCAGTGAATGAAATGATTAAATGAGTTTAAATTTAAATTTAATATAAAATCGTTTACTTTTATCTCAAAATATATTAACCATGAATAAAATCAATTTTGCAAACTACTAGCTTAACTATTAATCCTTTCAAAACATATCATCTCAGACATTTCAATCACATTTCACTTTTTTAATCTTCTATTCAACATTATGTCATCTCTGTATTTATTTATCTGTAATCTTCATCTGAATCCTTATTTTGATGTTACTTTGCTGTTGTTTTATATTTACTATTATTACCTTCGACAAAAAAAATTTTTCAATATGTATCGTACATGTATATATTCTATACTATTATTTATTAGTGTTCAATATTTCATTTTTGTTCATAGTCAATGTCCATCTAATTTCTTAATAGAACCATGTTTGTGTATTGAAAGCAATACATCAAATGATCAAACAATACTCTATTCAACTCTAACAGAATCGATTCCAATTCGTCAAAAATCAATTGTTTGTGAGCATGTTAATAATTCATCCTTCGATTTACGTTCTATTTTTATTAAACTTAGTATCATATTAACAACAAATAATCAACCGAATAATATTACAAACTTTAATGACTTTCTTTTACATAATACACAGATTAATCATTTACCAGAAAATGTTTTTGGAAATATTACTTTTTCGAATATTTTATTATATCATAATTCATTATTAAATTCAATTGATGTTAATGCATTTAATAATGCACGAAATTATGTTGAAGTATTTAGAACTTTAAATACAAGTTTATCAGATAGTGATATATTATTTACCATAATAAAAAAATTTCATAATTTAAAATTTTTTAGTATGGAAAATGATAAACTACAATTTATTCCAGATTATGCATTCAATCATACTCAACTTCGATATATATGGTTAGGTGATTATTTTAGACAAACATTACAACCACTTGATCACATTGGTAAATATCCATTTTATAATGTACCAAATTTAATATCATTACGAATTTTTTCACCTTTATTAACAAAAATTGGTAAATATTCATTGGCTATCAATAGACGATCAACAATACTTGTTGATGATTTGAATCATATGTTATTTATTGATATTGGTGGTTCAATGTTAAATACTGCTAGTTTTGAACCAACGTCTCTTACTCGTTTTCGTAATCGACCAGTTTTTTTACGTCTTTACAATACAAGTATTGATTATTTGGATGAAAAAATATTTCAACCTTTTCTTGAAACACATCCATCATCATTATTAGATGTTCAAGATTCAAATATTAGTCGAACATGTGACTACAGATCATTATGGGTTAAAGATGAATATTGTACAAATATCAATTGGCGTGAAAATCGAGTATATGGAACTGCGTGTTGTTCGTTGTAACTTGTTTAATAAACAATCAAACTTATTCCCTGCTTTTATAACTGTGAACATTGAATATAGAATTCTGAAAGTCATCCTAGTAATAATACTGAGATGGGTCTGCAAAACAGACGCACAGAACGAGAGAGATGATGGTTTGGTATCAGAGCAAATCTCTTCAATCTCATCACACTCTTATATCAATTTCAAGATGATAATATCAGTCTTGAGTTTCGCTGTGGCCATTTGTCATATTTCATACTTTCTAAAAGAACAAAACAGTTCGGAGTTTCTTATATCGAATAGTTTTATTTCAAGTATGAGAACATATTTTGATTAAATGTTAGATTTTCACAAAAGAGAGTTTTCTTCGTCATTGTTAAAATGCTTCTTTTTTTATCTACTTACATATAAGTACTACTTTGTCTTGATATGGACAATTAAATTTTGTTGTTTTACTTTGATTAACTTCTCAACAGTTGAGAGTCTATCGAATACGCCAAAATCTTCTTATTCTACTTAGGATTATCGTTGTAAGTCATATACACAATAATTCGAATATGATATTATTGACCTTTAAGCTACTTCTAGACTTTCGATTTGATCTATTTAATTTTTGTTATTTATGCACATAACGATAACTCGGGATGAGCGACTGTTTCAAAAATAACTATGAATTACTAACGTCTCGAAACTCTATCATTGATGATAGTTCTAGATTAGCAGTTGCTTATCATTACTACCAAAACAACTTACGTGTACTAACTTATAATTTTAGCATATTCAACTGACAGTTTTTTACTGGCTTTTAGTTTGTATGAATCAGAGCTATATGTCTAATGTTATTAGAGATCATCACTGAGATTTTTTTGTTGTTAGTTTTGATATTATCTTCGTTGGCCACCTTTCAAACTATAATCTTTTTCCCAATAATTGCTACTCATATCTTAAACATTTCTATTAGTTCTATTTTAATGTGTGTTGTAACGTCAATTTAAAAAGTAAATATTTTATTTAAATAAGATTAACTTAATTTCAAGACTCGTTTTAGATGGGGATTATTTCATTCTCGTTCAAATTATTCAAATTAATTTCTAACAGTAAATATTCACTAATTTGATAATTTAAATTTATTCAATTTTAATTTAGAACAATATGCTTGAGTATAACTAACCCCAGATATTGTTTACATAAAATTCAATTTACAAGGTTAACACGACCTTGGCTATCTATTGCATTTTTATTATTTTTCTTGTTCATAAGATTCTTTCATTTCTGAGGTTATTTATCATACTTCAAAAGAGTTTGATATTCAATTTATATCAACAAAAAAAAATATAATCATAGACAATTCATTTGCATGAAAATATTCTATCAAAACATCGATGAAAATTGCTTATTGGTGCAAAATGAATCTCCTAGTATTTCACAACATGTTGCTACGGACGTATTCTGCTTGTTCTCTCTCGCCTTGACACTTTTAATATAAATATTTTTGTTGTCGATTGCAAACTTCTAGTAATTTCATTCTTCGCAAATAATAAAAATGTCATCGTCGAATGATGCAGCTACTAATAGTTTTGAGATTTTCCAGCAAAAACTCGATGCTCAAACAAATGCAGATAAACTTGCAAAATGTACAATCGATCTACGAAATACACGAATTGATCCATGTGAAGATTCATCAACTATACCTGAATTATTTGTCATTACATTGATTTATAAGAACAAAAATTATGATGCATAGTGAGTTGGTTGATATATATTTTTTTTCTTAAAGGACTGAATTACTTCTAACAATAATTTCGATAAAGTTGACTTCGATGAAAGATATCCATCAAATATAATTATGTACTAAATGTTAAACGAAACCATTTTGAATTTGAGAAGCTATTTGAGTTTTCCAATATTCTATAAGAAAGGACGGGGGCGGATAAGACCACAAATCGGCCCATTGGGTTTTTATCTTACAATCAAGTCTCATCACTTAAGGAATGAAAGGGCGAATTGAGACGATCATTTTGATACCAAATTGTGAAGGGTTTCCAATCACTTTCCAACACTTCCAGCAAATAACCAAAACACCTCAGTTTTCCTATGGACTATGAGTACACTGCTATTCCCTATGAAAGAATTTCATCTTTAAAAATCACATGAACATTTTTTCTGGTATTACCCAATCGATAGCGCTTTTCAAAAGCTACAAAATCCTCTATGTTCAGTCATCGAAAACGTTTGGCCACTTGTGCTTTCAAAAACCAAACTATTTTCGATAGCTCATTTTTTAGGCAAAATTCATGCTTGTTATATCTTGTAAAAAGAAAAGATCCGCATTTTTGGAATGAACATTTTTTCTGGTATTAACCAATCGATAGAACTTTTCAAGTGCTACAAAATCCTCTATGTCCGGTGATCGAAAAAGTTTGGCCACTTGTGCTTTCCAATACCAAACTATTTTCGATAGCTCATTTTTTAGGCAAAATTCATGCTTGTTATATCTTGTAAAAAGAAAAGGTCCGCATTTTTGGAATGAACATTTTTTCTGGTATTAACGAATTGATAGCGCTTTTCAAAAGCTACAAAATCATCTATGTCCAGTTTTCTAAAAACATTGGCCAGTCGTGCCTTCCAATACTAAACTATTTTTGGTAGCTCATTTTCCTCTCAAAATTCATGCTTGCTATACTTTGTGAAACAAAAATGTCTCTATTATCGGAATGAACATTTTTTCTGGTATTAACCAATCGATAGTGCTTTTTAAAAGGTGCAAAATCATCTATGTCCGATTATCAAAAAAGTTTGACCACTTGTGCTTTCAAACATCAAACTATTTTCGGTAGCGGATTTTCCTCTCAAAACTGATGTTTGCTGTACTTTGTGAAACAAAAATGTCAGCATTATTAGAATGAACATTTTTTCTGGTATTAACAAATTGATAGCGCTTTTCAAAAGCTACAAAATCATTTATGTCCGATCATCAAAAACGTTTAGCTATTTGGGCTTTGCAATACCAAAGTATTTTCGGTAGCTCATTTTCCTCTCAAAGTTCGTGGTTGGCGTACTTTGTAAAAGAAAAGTGTTCGTATTATTGGAATGAACATTTTTTCTGGTATTAGCCAATTGATAGAGATTTTCAAAAGCTACACATAAAATAGTTTGGAAGTTAGATTGGGTTTTAGAGGTGCTGAATAGGCGTAAAGACTCTTCGTGGACGTGGATTTTTGAGAATGTTAACAATTTGGTCATATTGTCTGATGAGGTTTGATGGAACGAGTAAGGATGAAATGTTGTGGTGTCGTTTATCACTGATATCAGAGTGAGAATGCCGGATGTATATTGTCTGTATTGCAAACACTGAGATTAATTCGGGGTGTTTTTATTGTAGTGTTATTTTTGGTGTGTAAATGGGAGGTATTTTCATTAGTTGTGTTGAAAACTTAGCGATGAGCAGGATATCACGGTTTTGTTGACTTTTATAAGATTTGGACATCTTATAAAAGAATTGTGGAGGTCCATATAGGTTGTATGGAACGATCGTAATATTTGGCTTTGGCAGCTTTCAACCGAAACGAAATGAAGAAAACTTGCGAAGAAGCAGCTCATTTGTAGAATTGGACACATTTTGATGACATTTGGTTTTCCTCGGTGTGGAAGCTTGTAAAACTTTTCTATGTATGTGCATTTAATCGAAGTCGGAGATTGATGGAATGAGTTTGGACCTCGTTGGCAACATCATCGGACATGAATATTTTAATGGAAGAAGCGGTGCTGAAATTCTCTATATAGTACCACCAACTAACATTGCCATGGCTCGAAATGTTATATTTGCGGCCCTATAGAAAGTTTTACGCACTAAAAACCTTCTGAGTATCTTTATTACTTCGTGAAGCGTGTGCTTGGTTTCTTTCAGAATACAATCGGCACAGTTTTAGAAAAAAACCTCAACGAACAGGATAGAAAGTAGCTGCAACGACATTTAATGGACCCCTTTACACGTTGAAACGGTTTACTTTCCAGCTGTCATCCATACATCCCCAGTTTTACACGTCAGTTACATCACACAGAGCAAGCGCTGATTATCCTTCTTGAAGTTAAGAAAATGTCTGCAGTGGCAAGAAAATACCGTTTCTTTAGTTTCTACTTTTCGATACACAGGCGTTTTCATTTTCCTTACTCATGTGCGTCTTGGGCCTCTTTCATCTAGATAGATGAAGTTTTTAACCTAACTGATTAGAATACGCAATCACTATCGATTACGACTTGTTTGCGATTGGAACGCACGATCTCTTCGATACTTCGAACAGATGCGAATGATTCCAATGGATCTC